CTCTTTCCCATCTGTCCCTTGAGCACTTGCCTCCTGGCATCCCATGGAGGGGCCATTGCTGCCTGTTCCATAGATGCGGACACTGAGACCCCAGGTCAGAGGCTGCAACTGGAGGTCCCCAGCTCTGGGCCCTAGATGGGTTCTGTGTGCCTGAGATGGATTTGGGGCTTCTTGTGAAAGCTGGATGTGCTGCCACATGGGGCCCACGTGGTTCCTGCCTGGCCACCTGGGACTGGTACTGAGTCACCTTGGTGCCCTGTTGGCAGGTTAAGCACTGTTCTGCCACAATCCCCCCCATTCTCTTTTGCCCCCCATATTGGAACCCAAGTTGTCCTTTAGCATTTTACCGCTTATTTTTTAACATGCTTAAAAATATACAGGCCAGTGGTTCTCGGCTGGGTGCAGTGGCTCACGCCTGTAATCCCAGCACTTTGGTAGGCCAAGGTGGGCGGATCACGAGGTCAAGAGATCGAAATCATCCTGGCCAACACGGTGAAACCCCATCTCTACTAAAAAATACAAAAATTAGTCAGGCATGGTGTCGTGCACCAGTAGTCCCAGCTACTTGGGAGGCTGAGGCAGGAGAATTGCTTGAACTTGGAGGTGGGGGTTGCAGTGAGCAGAGATCCCACCACTGCACTCCAGCCTGGCGACAGTTATCTCAAAAAAAAAAAAAAAAAAGCCAATGGTTCTCAAGGTTTTTGGTGTCAGGCTCCCTGCACACTCTCTACTGAGGATCCCAAAATTGTTTATGGATGTGATATCTATCACCATTTATCATATTAAAAAATTAAAATGAAGATATCACCAACCTTGAGACATCTTTGTAGCAAAAGCCTCAGTCCATCCGCCAACATGTCAGACAGACTCTAGAAAATTCCACAACACACTTGTGCAAGAATGATGGTGAGAAGGCAAACAGCAGCTTGTTGTTGTTATTTAAATGGTTTGAACTGCCTGGACCACACTTTGAGAAACATCACCATTAAGGAAAAAGATATTCTTAGCCACAACCAAGGCCAGCACCCATGGCATTTGCCTGGCCCCTGTGGGCGTTTAAGTCTAAGCCCTGTTCTAGAAAGAGAGAGAGGAACATGCTCGGGGTCCTATAGGCAGAACTGACTGGGGGGGGGGTCCCCTTTCTAGTCCTGGTGGCTGAGGCTGCACGTCCCTGCTCAGCACCACAGCCTGCGGCCCTAGTACTGACAGGAAGGAGCTGCCTGCCTGTGGCAGGGCTGTCGTTGGTCACTTCAGGGGACCTGAACAAAACAGTGTCAGCCCCTGTCTGCTGTGTGCTTGTCATGCGCCAGGCACTGGAGGAAACCAAGACTCTTTGAGAAATCACTAGTCCAAACGTTCCCACCTTGCAAGAAATGGTGGCAAGGTGCTGGCACAGGCACCCTTGTCCTGAGGCTGCAGATGGAGGCGCTGGCCGTGGTAACCAACCTTCAGCAAGGCGCAACTATCTGCCCTCTCTGAGTGCTTGTGTGTGGGCTGGAGGGCGAGGACAGCTAAGGCTCGCTGGGGGCCCCTGGGGGCCTTCCTCACTATAACTCACTTGCACCCACCCCTCCTATGAGACAGGGACTTTATGGCCAGCATTCCGCCAGCCCCAGCTGCATAACCCAGATCTGAACCCGGGTGCTCCAGCACCTAAGCCCCATCCTCTGCAAAGGGGGGTTTCACCCAACCTTCCCCAGGTTGGGCATGGTGGCAAATTTAGATCGGATTAAAAAGACAGCTCAGGGCACAGCTGGTGGAGTGCCTCAAAGGGAATGAAAGACGGCATGGTGGCAACTGCAGTCTGGGTGCCAGTTGGGGATGGGTGAGGGGGAGGGGGAAGCGTGGCTCCCTCCTGGCCTGACCAAAGTGGTCCCCACCCCACCTCTCACTGGATTGGTCCCAGCAGGTCCAGCCCACCCACCACCTGTCACCCTGCTAGAGAACTGCAGCCTGGCCTTCCCAGCCCTGAGACAGAGTGGCCAGGATGAAGTGACGCCTCAGCTTTGGGCAGGGTGCCCAGAGGAGGTGCCGAGCCAACCCCTGGAGCCCACTCAGCCACGATTCTACCTTCATGGCTCAGCTCCTTCAGGGACACCTGGGCTGACCTCATAGGCCCCACTGGGCAATTCCTCCCAGCACCTGGGTGACGCTGTTCAGAGAAGCATTTCCCTTTCCCATTCCCTCTCTGGAGAGCTCCGTGACAATAAGAATAAAGGTGTCTGACATGCCCCACTCATGACCAGCCACAGCATGGTGCCTGGCACAACTAGCTGCTGGAGAAATATTAGTGGATGAAATGAATTATCCCAGCTTATGTGTGTCCCTGTCCCCAAATCCACATGCCTTTAAAAATAAAGCATCCGCCTTCCAGGGGTCAGGCCAGAGTAAGGGCCTTTCATACTGGGTTCTGGGGGAAAGTAAGATGGTAAAACAGATGGTCTGCACAGAGCTGTCCTGACCCAAGGTACAGAGAGCCAGAAAAAGCTGCAACTGAGATGTGGACCCAGGCCTTCTCTAATCCTGCAGCCCCCAAGGCCAGGCACATGGTCCAGTTCTCCCTGAAATTCACCAGGCTGGGTGTAACTCAAGCCATTCACATGGATCGGGGAAGGTGTTTCGAGTTTCGTTTCCCCTGGGGTTACCAGCAGAATCCCTGGAGGGATATTCTAGACAATTGGGCACAGGAGGACCACGGGGAGATGGGGAGGAGACCCCATGCCCAGGAACCTCTCCTTTGCTAGTGAGCATACTCTAGTTTCACCACCCACATGTAGGACACCCGTGTAAATTTGTAAAGGGCGCCCTCTTCTGGCGGACACAGCCCCACAGGCCCGTGGCTTAGCAAGAGTGCCGTTGTTCCTCCGCCAACTGCAGTGCACAACCTGAACATCTGTACACTTGGGAGTGCCTGCAGTTCTGTCCCATGGGCTGACAGTAACTCTGGGTACCTGCCACCCTCCTGAGGCCAACAGTGAATGCTGCTCCTCCTTTCAGGGGGCTGGGAGGCCTAAGGGCCATGCATGCAAGACCTGTAGCCACATAGAACCACCTGCTGCCTTCCTGGGGAAAGATAGAGCTCCACCCCTCAGTCCCCTTGGAGATTTACATAGACAAAGATAAGTCGCTTACAGGTCCAGAAGTCACAAGACCAAGAGAGAACATGTTAGCCAGACTTAGCACTGCCTTCAGCTGCCTCCCAGTGCACCATTAAAAATTTTAAAGCGATTACATTTTTAAGTAAAGTTTTAAGGCAATCAACACTCCATCCCTACATCACAGGCTTTAGCCCAGGTGGGCTGGGTGAGGTATGGCTTGCTTGGGTCTTCAAGGGGGCATACCCTCGGCCCTCTCACTGAGGCTACCACACACCCTAGGCTCCCACACTGAGTCAGGAACCCAGAGAAGGCCAGGGCTGGCTCAAGGTCACCCAATGGCTAGCTGGCAGCCTGGCTGGGCCCGAGCCAGGTCCCCAGGCCCTGCCCTTTCGCTAGACCCAGATCTGCTGGAGCGTGGGGGTGGGAGAGCTGGTCTCCAACTTGGGCCTTCACTGGGCACAGAGGGACCGTTCTTTACCGCTCAACAATCCCCCCCATTTGCCCTGTGCCAGGCTGCAGCCTTCCTTAAGTCCTGCTGACGAGGAAAATCTGGTGCCAGCGCCCACAAATACATGTGACTTCTGGAGGGAGGCAGCGCCTGGGTTCCCCAGCCCAGAGTGGGCGGATTTAAAGAACGGGTGTGGGGCATGGTCACTGGATAGGGGAGGACCAAAATGCCCAAATATGTCTGGGGTAGAGGGTGATAAACATATATATGTTTCCGACCAGATACCTGAAAAATGCTTTCCATGTTTGTTCAAGGCAGGGGAAGGGCACATAAGCAATCTTCACTGCATATTCTTTTATAATGTTTAATATTTTCACCATGGGCATGTATTTCCTAAGCAAATATTAAATTCATAGATGTAAACCCATGCATAAATGGCCCAGGCAGAAAAGAAAGAGACTGGAGCTCAGAATTTCAGAAGATGAAGGGACCTCCAGATATTGATTTTCTCTGTAAAAACGAAAGCTAGGGTTGACGGAATGCCCGTGGGCTGCCTGCTGGCCCTTCTTTACCATCTCATGTTAGCCTGAGCAACCTGATGAGGGAGATGCTACTACTGACATCTTCCACGGTACAAATGAGGAAATGAAGCAAGGTTGCCACAGGCTGGACCCCTGAGCCCAAGTCATACCCACCGGCTGAGGCTGACACATGCTACAGGGAGGGCAGCCGCACAGGCTGGGCTGGGACCTGAGGCTCTGGCTCCTGCTCTTTGTCCTGACTTTTCCCCCAGAGGCCTACAGTTCCCCGGAGCCCCAGGCAGCGGTAGCCCTGTGCCAGAGGGAATGTGCCTCGTCAGACAACTGGGAGTCCCCCAGGGGCTGGGAGCAGAGCCTGCAGGTTTCCCAGGGTCACATGGGCAGACCACTGAGACGCGGGTGGCCATCCTCAGCCCCTCTGTGAGCCTCAGTTTCCTCATCTATGAAATAAGTGAATCTTTCCTACCTTGGAAGGCAGGAGTAATGGCCCAAGATAAGGTATCCGACACACAGAGGTGCTCAGCACACACTCCTTCCCTTCCCCTCTCCCTCCCTGGTGAACCCAAGAGTGGGAGGTCCATCCTCAGCTGGCTGCATCCTGCCAGGCCAGGTATGGGGCACTGCCTGGGGAAAGGCCCCAGGGCCTGGGGGGCAGGCTAACGGCTGGCAGTGACCCTCCCACCCAGAAGCATACCCTACGCACTGAAGAGGACGAGGAGCTGAGTGGGCAGGGTGCCTGTGTGCATGTGTGAGCTCACGTGTGCACCCACAGGGGACCTGGCAGGGGCTTGCTGTGGTATCTCCCAGCTCTCAGTTGCCCTAACAGACCAAGATAGAAGGAGCTTGGAAGGGGACATTTTATTTTCCAGCTACAGATAAGAAGAGCAGGGCCGGCCCGTCCCGCCCTTCCCTTACCTTGGTCCAGTGCTGTGGGTGGGGGCCTCTTGCCACAAACAGCCGCTGCCTGGCCGGCCTCTCGGGCCTCCTGTGCTGCCCACGCAGATGAGCTCCCTCAGCCTTCCCCCAGCCAGTGCAGCGGCCAGTGCGGGTCACAAACCCTGAGCCCCTGCTTAATCCGCCAGCTCCCGAGTCAGCGCCAGTCAAACACGTGACACCGCAGCCTCACAGACCTGTTTGGCAGGAGCAGCAGCTGGTCCCGATGGGGGTGGGGAGGGCTGTCCGCCTCGCCTGCCCTCGGGCGGTCCCTGACCACCCTCCCAGCCTACAGCCTGCAGCTGGGCCCCTGCCTGCCTTGCTGGGAAAGGTATGGTACGTGCTGGGGGCAGTGCAGGTAGGGAAAAGAACATGCTTCTCGCCAAATGGTGCTGGGCCACCTGGCAATGGGTGTGTGTGTGTGCACATGAGGCTGTGCATGTGCACACAGGTGCATGTGGCAGGGAGAGATCAGAGATGCAAATTTATTCTGGGCGGATTAAAGGCCTAATGTGAAAGGTGAATAAGGAGAATCTTCATGACTACAGGGTAGGAATGAGTTTTTCAAAACACGCAAAATGTTAATAATAAAGTGAGAAAGTTGACTACTTGAATTAAGAACTTTGAAATTGAGAAGTTCATCTCAAGACCCCGTAAAGAGTGAAAAAGGCAGGATGGAGGGAGGGAAAAGAGATCTACAACGTGTATAACTGACGAAGGATTAGAATATGGAGCACCCAAAGAACCCTCCAAATCATAAAGAAATAAAAAGACAGCTCAAGATGGATGAAAGGCGTGAACAGGCATTCTGCACCAATGATGAGATCCAAATGGCCAACGGACAAACAAAAGATCCCCAACCTCATTGGGGAAATACCAATGCAAACCACAGCAAGAAACTATTACCCACTCACCAGGTGAGTGAAAATGACGAAGACTGACAATGCCCAGTGGGCAGTGGGGGAGAGGTTATATGCTTGCTTTACAGACAGTATGTGCCCCAGAGAAAGCTCATGCCATGTGTTCTGGGACAGGTTCAAGAGCAACAGCCCCCAACTGAAAACAACTCATGTGGTCCATCATAGCAGGCTGCATAAATAAGCTGTGGCCTATCGATACAATTAAATACTATTTATTTAAAAGGACAGCCAGGCACAGTGGCTCATGCCTGTAATCCCAGCACTTTGGGAGGCCAAGGCAGGCGGGTCACTTGAGGTCAGGAGTTTGAGACTAATCTGGCCAACATGGCGAAACCCCATCTCTACCAAAAATACAAAAAATTAGCCAAGTATGGTGGTGGCCACCTGTAATTGCAGCTACTGGGGAGGCTGAGGCAGGAGAATTACTTGGACCCGGGAAGTGGAGGTTGCTCTGAGCTGAAATTGCGCCACTGCACTCAAGCCTGGGCAACAGAATGAGACTCTAGCTCAAAAATAAATAAATAAATAAATAAATAAAGGATAAAAGAATGAACAGCACCTCATAGCATATGTGAATCTCACAGATGCTACTTTTAGCAAAAGGAGCCACACCTGAACAAGTATCCACAGCCTATTTATATTCGGCTCAAAAATAATAAAAACAAAATTATATTGTAAAAAGTTGTTCCATAGGTGGGAGGACAGGAAGGGCAAGTGGGATGTTATTAGCACAAAGTCTCTGAGGAGTAGGCTAGGGAGGGGCACACGGGGGCTCTGGGCAAGGCTCACTCTCCTGACCCAGGCAGCGGTCATACGAATGTTCTTATTTTTCTATAAGCTGTGCATGTTTGTCCTTGCACCTTTCTTGGTGGCAGGTGATCACATTTAAAACAGAAAGGTACATGTGCTAGGGGTAGGGAAAGGCATGGACCCCAAGCTGTGCCTGCAGAGCCACCAGGCAGTGGCATCTGAGCTGGAAGGGCTCATCTTGCCCTCTTATTTCACAGACAGGAAGGAACTTGCCCAACGTTGCAAAGCAAGTTAGAAGCCAGCAGGGCCAAGACGAGAATCTAGGTTTGGCAAAGCCCAAACCAAGGCTCTCCTCTCTGGTCTCTTTGGAAGAGTTTTTCCATTGCAAACCACATTTAAGACCAACTGGAGCAGATGGGCTGATTTTAGCACTTAGCATTCCAAAATTATTTTGTTTGCTTATTTATTGTGGGTCTCTTGCCACTAGAATAAAAGCTCCTGGAGAGCATGGCTTTTGGTCTCTTCTACTCCGGTAGTAACCCCAGCACCAAAACCAAAACCTGGCAGCACATAGTAGGTGCTCCATAAATATTTGCTGAATGAGTAAATGAATGGAACTGATGCTTCTATTTGCACTTTGAGATCCCAGAAATCCCTGGTGGCTTCTGTGATATCCCTAAAGAAGAAAACAAAGAACAACTGTATGATATTGACACACTTTTACAGAATTATCTTCATAACTGCCTTAGGAGGTCGGTATCATCATCACCCTACTTTAATGAGGAGAAAACTGAGGCTCAGGGAGGCCTAGTGACTTGTCCTAGGTCATGCACAAAGCTAGGAAGCTGACAGCAGGGATTTGAACCCGGCCCAGCTGCTGCCAACCAACCCTAGGGTCACTGAACTTGAAGCACAGAAAAGCTGAACCCCGTCCATGACTCTGAAGCCCCCAAAAGGCAGGCTGGCCCTGGGCCACTCCACATACCTGAGCTTACCAGGATCTGTGAGCTTCAGACCCTCTTGTCGTCACGTATCCTCAACCCTCCTGAGTGCTGGTTATGACTTCTAAAGTGTTTTCTGGGTCTCTTTCAAACTCTCAGCCCCCAGTAAGGAAGACTGGGTAGGGATTAGGTCCCCCATGACAAAGATGGGGAAGCTTTGGCTCAGGGAGGGGAAGGGACATGTCCAAAGTAAAGAAGTGTCCCGCTCTCTACCCTAAAGGCCTCCTAAGTTAGAGTGACAGTCTCCAGCTGCTGCTCAAGGATTATCATAAGACGCTCAATGTTCTTCCTGGTTCCTTTTATACCAAACCTTCAGGCCACTTGGATGACCTGGTCCTGGTTCAGTATCTGGCTGAGCTGAATAATGAAATGTTCCCATAATACCCCTCGGCACTTGGCTTTATTAAAACACGTTGGCACATTTAGCGTTGTTACAAACCTGTATTACTATCCTGACAGCTTTCCACCAAGTCCTCGGATTATTTAAAAAATAAAAATAAATCATTGGCTCTAGGAGTCTTGGAGCTACAATGGTCCTGCTGGGCACCTCAGCTAATTGAAATTCAAGAATACTCCACCTGGCCTCACTGCGCACACCTTCGGTGAGAGGAACCCACTGCCTTCCAAGGCAGCCTGTTCCTCATTTGGATTCAGCTCAGTCTCAGTCAGGCGCAACAAGAACTTATATCAGCCCCTGGCACTAGGGATGAAGTAGTGCCCCAGGCCCCACTCTGGCCTCAGGGAGCTCACAGTCTGGAAGAAGAAATTTCGTAAGCACAACAGGATAAGGCATGACGCAGGGGGTTACCTTCTAAAGAGACAGCAGATAAGGCCCAAGCTGTGTACAGAGGTCATTAGCTCCCACAGCTGGCTTTCTGTGCTGTCACACACAGCACGCGGGGATTTATTTGGGTCAGCTTGGACTCTGTGCACTTGAGTCTGAAGCCCTTTCCAGAGCAATGCCACCCTGAGGGTGTCTGGGTGCACTGCTGGGGCTCTGGGGCAACAAAGCAAAGCTGAAAGGACAAATAGGCTGCAGTATCCTGCATCATTCTGGCTGGCCTGTGGGATTGACACTGTTTTAATATTATGATTTGAGAACTGTCATACAAGGGAATGATGGGTTTGTGGTTTTACAGATGTAATGGGAAATACACATGAAAGCCCCTAGTGATCAGGTCTGGCATGGAGTAGATGCTTAGAAAAAAATGCTCGCTGGGTTTGCACTGCAATCCTGCTGGATTAGAAAGCCACATACACAGTTCTCTGAGTCACAGTTCTCTAAGTCACTGATAACTTAGGGGCCTGCTTCCTGCTTTCCCAAGCTGAAGCTTGCTGCGGTGGCCCCACTGAATAGCCCTGAGGCAGGGGGTGAGGGGGAGTCTGGAAGACTGCTGTATGACCAGGGGTCTAAAGTCAGTCCCTACCTGCACCCAACTTTGTACCGCCCTCTGTTCAGTGATAATGGTATCCCGTGGGGAAGATTCAGGGATGCAGGGCGGGCTTTGCCGAAGAGGTATCACGGATGAGGGCGATGAAGGATGAATGGAGTTTGCCAGATGGCAGGGGTGGGGTGGTCATTCCTGCAGGAGCCAAGGCAGGGTGAGATGGGTCCCAGTGGAAAGGCAGAGGGGCTTCAGAGAATGCCACTCCCACAAGCAGGTCTGTGTCTCACTGCATGGTGGTAATGAATGCTGGTCTTAGCTGCAGCGGTGCCTGGGACCCCAGTCCACATGGACCTCACCAACAGAATGGGCCTTTGTCAGCCTTTTGCACGTGAGAAACACCTCCTGATAGGAATGAGCAGCCCCCACATCCCCTAATTATGAGGGGCAGTGGAGTGATGGGGCCTCTGGTCAGCTCTCCTACCACAGGCCAGATTCAGACTCCCTGCCCAGCACAAAGGCAGCTTGCACAGCCCAGTGACAGGCAGCTTCCTACAAGAACAATGGCTGTGTTCTTGGCTGGGGACACTCAGGTGCTTAGGTCCACCCCCTATACCAATGGCTGAAACTGTGTGCAGGAAAGCTGGGGACACAAATGGTCCCAGTTCTTCTGGTGTGACCTCGGCACTCCCCTCTGGACAATGGGGAAGGCAGTGTGAATAAAGCCAAGGGTGGTGGTGTGGGGACAGCAGGCATGGGACAGGCAGGGCAGGGCAGGTTGGTCAGACTAGTGGCTGGAAGGGCGGGCAGCCACGGGCCCTTTAAGCAGCCTTGGGAGAGAGTGGCAACTCCAGTCATGAGACTCAAGATTACCTAATGTTTGCAAACCATGCAGGAGACAGTCCCCTACAGAGGTGAGCACAGGCCCCCTCCCTTGTCCCTCCACTGCAAAGACCTCTGAGGGGACGCTGAGTCCTCCGAGCATTCTCCAGGCAGCAGCTCTCTCAGGATGACTAGGTTGCTGGAGAGCTGGGGACAGGGCCCCTCTACCCTGAATATGCTGTGTGACCTTGGACATGTCCCTGCCTCTCTCTGGCCTCAGTTCTCCATCTGTAACACAGTGGGGTGGCTATGGGATGCTTCCTCTGACACTGATGCTTAATGGCTGGACTGTGGGCACTGTGGCCACCCTAAGTCACCTCTGTTTATCTTTTCCTGTGGGAGGTGGGGGGTGGAAGGAGGTGGCACAGCTAAGGCAGTTTCTCTTCTTTCCTCTTAAACCTGGCTTCTGGGCTCTGGCTACACATGAGTTCAGCAGCCTGGCCACCTTGCTAACTGGAATGAGGAGCTGGGCATCATGCTGGGGGCAGGGGAGGGTGACCAGAAAGCCATTCCTGTGTCACCTCAATTCAGAGTTGCTCAAAGGGGGCTGTGCAGGCCAGTGTGTCCACTGTCTGGTGGAGCCTGACCACAAAATGGAACAGTGGCCCATCAAAGTGCACAACCAGACCCCTGCTTCCAGTCCAGGACCCATCCCTCACCACCACAGATCATTGAGCATGCTCAGAGCAACACGCACAAAGCTGACCAGGCAGAGCCGACTGCTGTCCTTGTGAGCCTCATCTCCTGGACAGGACCAGGGGGAAGGGACACCCACTGTCACCTTTCTGCTCCCTTTGCTCCACGAACAGATCAGCTATGACAGCTGAGAACTTGGCAATTTAAAGTGACAACTGCCTGGCAGAAACATGGGAGGGGAAATTCCCCAGGACTGTTCAGGGTGGGGAGAAGCTTGACTCACCTCTGCCAACCCACCCTGCCAGCTTAGAGCCCAAGGGCAGGTGGTTTTGTAGCAGGAGGTTGTGGGGAGGACCCCATACTCTAAGTTCCTGGCCCAGGAGAGTCCCATCCTCAGACGGGCAGGTGGGACAGGTTTCCAGCAGCAGCCCCCATCACACCTCATCCCCTTGCTGCCTCCTGCCCCCTAGGGGTCAGGGTCCAGAGGTTGCCAAGGCTGTTCTGGCCCCCAGGACTGCTGCCTAAGCCAACTCTCCTGGGGGGGGGGTCTGACAGGGAGCGCTCCCTCCACCCAAAGGCTAAGAACC